AATTCACCCAGCCCCTCCTCAAAACACACAGGTTGCCAGATGTGTGTCAAACCGAGTTAGCGTGCCTGAATAGAGCCTTACACTGTGAGCTGCTCAGTAAGTGTTTATGTTTCTAATATTTGTATTATTTACGAAGTTAAACCACTGTGTGGACTTTTATGAATCTGAAAGCATCTAATTCCGGAGACTGCTAGTGTTTAGACTGCATAGAGACATGACTGAAATGAAATACGTTGTTTTCCGACAAGGCAACCCGGGATGCTGAAATATAATTGGGTAAACTGGCAGTGGGCGGAGTTACAGAGATCAAACCAAAGACGCACATGTTCAAAGGAGAATACCTGACTTTAATAATGTTTTTCAGACGAACACTTATGTTCAGTTTGCATTAAAGATCAGAACATATTTATGTTAAGGTACTTTGTGCTATAGAAGAGTCAAAAACACATACAGCACTGTTAACAGTTGTCTTGAACCAAAACAAACCTCTACATCAGGGGTGTCCAAACTCTGTCCTGGAGGGCCGGTACCCTGCAAGGTTTAGTTCCAACCCTATTTAGACACACCTGAAGCAGCTGATCAAGCTATATTAGAAACTTGCAGGCAGGTGTGTTGAAGGAAGTAGGAACTAAACTATGCAGGACACCAGCCCACCAGGACTACATTCACCAAAAAAAAACTCACCAAACAAAGCATAGAAGTGTCCTAGACACAATCCTACAACAACAATCCTAGAAGTGTTGATCCAAAGTCCATCATCACATTAGTTCATGTGGAATTTCAGACACCGAGTGATGTTTTTCAGAAATATATCATTTCCCCGATTACTGAAATTAATTCCATCACAGTGAAAAAGGTCAGGATCACGATAATTTATCTGGGGATGTTGCACAATGCTGCCACCGACAGACGAAACACTCTTAGCCATCATACTGTTAATGAAGCGGCGGGCCCTGTCTATTTTTTTAGGATGGAGCGACCCCCACTTGTGTCTCTGAGTGATGGTGGAGAAGACCATCTTCATCTGAGGGAAACTTCTGTGGAGCTCCCGCAAATCTTGTGTTATCGCTGCACACAGCTTCACACTCTTAAAGATCCCGAGATCATTCCCACCACAGTGGATGAGCAGCACATCCGGCACCGCTCTCGTTCTCAGACACTGCCGGAAGCAGGGCAGGAGGTTTTTCCACACCAAACCATCGAAGCCAAACCACTGGACACGGGCATTCAGACCCAGGTTGACCCCGACGGTCTCCCTCGCACGCTTCTCCCCATAGCGAACGCAGCTGTCCCCGATAATGTAGATTTCAGCATCTGATGATGGAGAAATAAAAGGGAAACAACATCAGCTTTCCTGAAGTTCTTCCTTTTGATAAACAGCAGGTCACATGGGGTTTCAAATAGTCCTTATCTAAAAAAAAAAAGTGTTCTGTCCAAAACAGTTCAACATTTACATTATTTAGCAGACAAACGAGGAGGCATTCAGTGATTCAGCATGAAGAGGCAATACACACAAGAAGTGCTACTTATACAAAGTACTGATCATGCTCAGAGAAATAAAAGCTAAGGTAAGGACAGGGAGTTTCTTTATGAAGTATTTAAGTGCTCGCAGAAGAGTTTTCAGGTGCCATTTGAATATGGAGATCATTCCACCAGTGAAGAACAGTGAATGTTAAGGTCTTGGAAAGTGACCTAGATCCTCTATGTGATGGTACCACAAGACAAGACAAGCCTCCTGTAGGGGATGTAGACCTTCAGAAGCAGGTGGAGGTAAGAGGAAGCAGTGACTGTCCTATAATCAAGCATCAATGATTTGAACTTGATCCGAGCTTCGACCGGTAACCAATGCAGAGAGATCGAGAGAGGTGTTTCTCTAGGGTGAGTCTCTAGGGCTCATTGAAGACCAGATGACCTGCAGCGTTCTGGATCATCTGTAGAGGTTTAAGGGTGCAGGATGGAAGTCCAGCTAGAAGCACATTGCAGTAGTCCAGCCTTGAAATGACAAGAGCTTGGACCAGAAGTTGTGCAGCATGAGCTGTTAGGAAGGGTCTAATTTTTCTGATGTTGAAAAGTGGAAGCCTGCATGATCGAGATGTGTTCGACAGCTGATCATCCAGGATCCCTGCAAGATTCCTTACTGAATTAGATGGGATAAAAGTAGATTATCCCAGCTGGATGAAGAAGTTATGTTGAATATCTGGAGTAGCAGGGAAGGCAAAAGTTCGGTTTTTACCCAGATTAAGATGTGGGTGATTGTCTTTCATCCATACAGTGCAAGATTCTTGCCTTGAAATGTACACGAAAACCACAATATCTAGTGCTTTGGCTATGAAATGTAGTAGAGACTAGTCTGTAGTTTTCAACCCTTGAGGTGTTTAGAGATCTTATTTTGAGCAGTGTGGTCACTTGGTCCTGCCTAATAGTGGTTGGGGATGTTCCAATGTAGAGTGATGTGTGTTAGGGCTGACACTACGGCTGGGGAAATGTCCTGCAGGATGTGTGAGGAGATCTCTTTAAGAATGGAGGGAGGAGGATAAGAGTGTACTTTCTGTTGTTTGATGGAAGATCTAGAAAGGAAGGGTGAGAAACAGACTGCTAATCTTAGAGGTTTAGTGTGCGAAAAAAGGTCAAATTATCAGCTGATATGGAGGCGGTGGAGGACAGAGCAGGATATTGAATGTCTGAAGTGCTTTTGATTTTGTTATGCAAGTATAAAGTTTTGGCTGAATGAAGCTGGGTGGTAAATGAAGCAAGTTGGGATTGATATCTGCTTAGGTCAGCAGGCTCTTTAGATTTATGCCATGTTCTTTCTGCTGTCCTTAACATTGTCCAGTGTTTTCACTAAACACGAGAGGTAGGGGTAAAGGAAGTAGTGTTCATTGGCCTGGTGGGGAGAGGACAGATCTCATCTATGCAGGAGCTTAACATGGAACAGAAGGTATTTGTGTGAGGCAAGAGAGGATGAAAGACAGCGCAGATTACATTTACAAGAGACTGGTTGGGAGGGGTGGCTGGGAAAAAATAGAAAGATTTCAAGCCTTATTTTAATATGTTGCAAGGAATTCAAGAATGAAATGTCTCCTTAGAGGGTTAGTTCCCCTTAATTACCCTCATGTTTCAACCCCCTGAGACCTCTGTTCATCTTCAAACACAAATTAAGATGCTTTAGGGTAAATCTCAGGCTTTTCCATCCATTTAATTATTTAGCAGAGGCTTTAATCCAAAGAGACTAACAAATTATGATAAAAGCACTTAAAATCAAAAAACAGCAATATCTAGACACTATGACAATTGTAAGTTTGTTTTTTATGGTAAATTTGAGAGAGTGTGTCCTACAGATGGTTTGTGAAGCCCACTCACCTGCGTGAAGCACACTAACAACTATACAATATTTTCAAGAAGTAAGGCATGCTTATAAGAACATGTGTGGTGCATATGTAGAGGAGAGTCTGAGCTACAGGCGGCTTGTCAATCCCACTCACTTGTGTAATGCACACTAAGAATTCCACAATGTTAACACAGGAACATGGAGTGTTGATACGAAAGTGTCGTGTGAATACGGAAAAGAGAGAGTGTGTCCCCTACAGGTGGTTTGTGAAGCCCAAGAATTGCTCATTTTTTTCAAGAAGGGTGTACATAAGAAAGTGTGTGGTGCATATGGAGAGGAAAAGAGTGTCACCTGTATGTGGTTTATGAAGCACACTTACCTGCACGGTACCACAAGCTGACATTCGGTAGCCAAGCGCAGGGTCCTGCCAGGCACATAAGCCTGAAGTAGTGGGCTCAAGTAAATGGGTGCAGAGGCAGCAGTTGTTTAGTAGGTGAGTAGCAGGGCCTTGAATTTGAGTCGAGAGGTGATTGGCAGCTAGTGTAGACTGATGAATAAAGTTGTGACATGCTCTTAAAAGACTTCAAGTTGAAAAAACTCTTCAAGTTCATTAAAGACAACTCTTGATGCTGCATTCTGAATGAGCTCCAAAGGGTTGATGGTGTTGGTTGGAAGGAAAAGACCATTGGAATAGTCCAGCCTGAACAGGACAAGAGCTTGGACTAGTAGTTAAGCAGCATGGTCAGATAGGAAGAGTCTGATCTTACTGATGCTAAACAGAATGGATCTACATGAACAGGCAATGTGGTCTGTAAATTTCAGCTGGTCATCAAGAACCACTCCTAGGCTCCTGACTGTTTTTGAAGTGAAGAATGGTGAAGGTGTGGCTCATCATTGATCATCCAAAACTCAGCAACATTCTAGACTGGTTTAAGGTCCTTAAACATCCTCAGAACAGACCACATCCCTTCAGTGGTTCAATAGGAATATTATAAGGCAATGGCTGAACCTTTGAGGGCAGAGAAAACAAACATAATGACTTACTCCTGATCCCTGTGGGTCTTGTCACATCTGCTGGCTCGATCTTTACATCTATAATGAGAGTAAAACCATTTATTATTGTCACTCATTTCATTCAGGAAACACCATTTAATAACAGAATATCTTGCTCAAGCTGCTTTAGAGTACTTTATTACTTTTAAATAATAATAATAATAAATGACCTAGGTCAGGGTTGGACAACTTGAGTCCTGGACGGCCAATGTCCGGCAGAGTTGAACACACCTGCCTGTAGCTTTCTGGTGATCTAGAACGCACTGATTAGCTTGTTCAGGTGTGTTTGATTAGTGTTGGAGCAGAACTCTGCAGAACAGTGGCCCTCCCGGACTGAATCTAGAAATTCCTTCATCACTGATCGCCAAAGCTGTTTCAGTGACCGAAGAGGTCTCCGGTGCACAGAACTGCACAACAGGTGGTTGGCGCTGACGAGCAGTACTACACGTGGTGTGATTGACACCCCTCATATGGTAGTCCAGGGCCATAACACCCATTGCCGCTAGCTTAAAAGATTTCCGGCACCAACAGCAGCAGGTGTTGTGGACATTTCCTGGCACAGGCTTGACCCAAACGTACATCGAATTCCTAGGCCACAGCGGATTAAACCGACACTTTCCCATTTTAGCCGACAAACTAGGCTAGTGACTATCTTGTTCTAGAAACCACTCATAGGTTCCTGACTGTTGTTGAGGTAAGAATGGTCAAGCTGTGGTTCTTCATTCAGGATATTATCATGCTATGGGTGAACCTTTGAGGACAGAGAAAACAAACATAATGACTTACTCCTGATCCCTGTGGGTCTCGTCACATCTGCTGGCTTGATCTTTACATCTAAAATGAGAATAAAACCATTTATTATTGTCAATCGTTTCATTCAGGAAACACCATGTAAGAACAGAATATCCTGCTCAAGCTGCTTTAGAGTGCATTATTACATGTTAATAATAAATGATCTAGGTCAGGTTTGGGCAACTTCAGTCCTGGATGGCCAGTGTCCTGCAGAGTTTTGCTCCAACATTAATCAAAAACACCTGTCTGTAGCTTTCTGGTGACCTTGAATGCACTGATTAGCTTGTTCAGGTGTGTTTGATTAAAGACACTGATTAGCTTGTTCAGGTGTGTTTGATTAAAGACACTGATTAGCTTGTTCAGGTGTGTTTGATTAGTGTAGGAGCAGAATTCTGCAGGACAGTGGCCCTCCCGGACTGAATCTAGAAATTTCTTCATTACTGATCGCCAAAGCTGTTTCAGTAACCGAAGAGGTCTCCGGTGCACAGAACTGCACAACAGGTGGTTGGCGCTGATGAGCAGTACTACACGTGGTGTGTTTGGCACCCCTCATATGGGAGTCCAGGGCCGTAACACCCATCTTCGCTAGCTTAAAAGATTGCCGGCACCAACAGCAGCAGGTGTCGCGGTCATTTCCTGGCACAGGCTTGACCCAAACGTAATTCGGATTCCTAGGCCACAGCGGACCGACACTTTCCCATTTTAGCTGACAAACTAGGCTAGCCACTATCTTGTTCTGTACCTCACTTGCCTAGTAACCATAGTAATGGGTGCGCATGCATTTGCGCTTTCTGCTGTGACGTGGAGCGCGAGGTGCACTCAATGTTTAATTAGCCTACTTTAGCAACAGTTAATTTTGTTACAGTATGAACTTTAATCCTAGGAAAGGCAAAACTAAATGAATAAAATAAGACCTTTGAAACAAAATCTAAGACTTTGTGTACCAAATTCAAGGCTATTAATTGAGATCAAATTTAAGACTTGTTCAATGCTCAAAGATCCTGCGGGTACTCTGATCAAGAACCACTCCTAGGATCCTGACTGTTGTTGAGGTGAAGAATGGTGAAGGTGTGGCTCTTCATTCAGAATATTATCAAGCTATGAGGGAAACTTTCAGCAGACAAAACAAACATAATGACTTACTCCTGATCTCTGTGGGTCTCGTCACATCTGCTGGCTCAATCTTTACATCTATAATGAGAATAAAACCATTTATTATTGTCAATCGTTTCATTCAGGAAACATCATGTAAGAACAGAATATCCTGCTCAAGCTGCTTTAGAGTACATGATTACATTTAAATAATAATAATAATAATAATAAATGACCGAGGTCAGGGTTGGACATTTTGAGTCCTGAATGGCCAGTGTCCGGCAGATAAGACCTTTGTAACAAAATCTAAATTCTAAACTGTGTACCAAAATTCAAGGCAATTAAGGTCTTAATTTGAGATGATCAAATTTAAGATGTTTTCAATGCTTTTAAGACCCCGCAGGAACTCTGATCAAGTATCCTGACTGTTGTTGAGGTGAATCCAAATTTATTCCAGACTGGTTTAAGGTCCGTAAACATCCTCAGAACAGACCACATCCCTTCAGTGGTTCATTCAGAATATTATCAAGCTATGAGTGAACCATTCAGCAGACAAAACAAACATGACTTACTCCTGATCTCTGTAGGTTTCGTCACATCTGCTGGCTCAATCTTTACAACTAAAATAAGAATAAAAGCATTTATTATTAGGATTTGATTTTATTGTCATTCGATTCATTCAGGAAACATCATGTAAGAACAGAATATCCTGCTCAAGCTGCTTTAGAGAACATTATTACATTTAAATAATAATAATAATAATAATAATAATATGATCTAGGTCAGGGTTCTACAAAATTCTACTAAAGTGGAATTGGGATTGCGCTAAACTTGTTGCAGTGACACGAGCTTAAATTGGAAGAACAATAAAACACAATAAACATTTTAAGTAATTTAGCTTAATGTAATATAGGTTTGATTTAGTTTTTTAGATTATCTTAGACCTCTTATACATATCTCTGTAACATTTTCAGTATGTTTACTGAATTCTTTAAACAACAAAGTATCAAAACAGCTAGAAATAAGCTAACATAAAACTCAATAATCTTTTTTTGCAGGAATAAAGGTTTGAAAACTGAATGACAGGAAAGGATGTGTATTCACACATGAAATGAAGTTGACCAGACAAAACATGGAATACACTGTGTTCTAGGGTTGTAACGGTACGAATTTTTCACGGTATGATAATCGTCTTAAACAATACCACGGTTTGACGGTTTCGCGGTATACGGTATGTTACAAATGTTACAAAATAATAGAACAGTGAAGCAAATTTGACTTTTTCCATATAATATATTTTCAGTTACTATAAACAACACCACTTACAATGAACAAATAAAAATAAGAAAATAATAAATAATGTGTCAAAGTCCAAATAAAGTCCAAATAAACATGGTGCAAATCCTCAGTAAAAAAATAGATATAAATATTTACTATACTATAAATAGTTACATAACGAAACTAGATTCAATATGGAACATCCTTAGGTTTTATGTGCCAGCATGGATATGGTTGTCTGTGGATATGGATTTGGATATGGTTGTCTGCAATGCAGACAAACAGCTGCACCTTCATTTGCGTCTTTTGAAAACAGCAAGAGCAGCAGTTCGTCTTTGCTGTGTCACTGTTTTGTCATGTTTCTGTGCTGCTGTGCATGCAAAAGTACTTAGTATGAGAATTATTTCATGCAAAACTTTTTTTTTGCGTTTTATGGTCCACAAACAAAAGTGAAACCTATGCTTATTGGTTGTGATATAGCGAGTTTGAACCAATCTGGGCATGGAGGAGGGACAATGCATCAATGTATCATGTCTGGTTTGTCCGGAGACACAGTGACGAGCGTTTCTTTGTCAAATCAGCGTTGTCAAATTTTGATGACGTAACCGCACTGATTCCGGAGCCTCTGAAGCCGCGAATGTTATGTGATACAGCACTGGAAAGCTGAGATTCTCTTCTTTATGCCAATCGTTGAATTGTATGAATCGGATCAGCGGATCAAAAGTTATTAAACATTTAAGAGCAATACTTATTTTTAGCCGCGGGTGGCTGTCTCGGTCTTTAAGGGTTAAAACCGTTGATGTGCAATTGTTCATGGTATGATAATCGTGCACGTTCAAATCGTGGTAGACTGTCATACCGGTATATTGTTACAACCCTACTATGTTCATATTTAATCTGCAATGAAACACAAGTCAACGCATTTTTCTATACGCTCACAACTTTCCCTGATGTGGGGTTGTAAATCTCTGAAATCTACAATAATCCTCTGACTGCCAATAATCTCCATGTTGTGTACTTACTAGTGATCTGAGTGAATGGCGTCTTGACTCTTGCTCTGAATTGCTCATCTGAAACAAGAATTCAACAAATCATCATTGTCACTCAGTTTATTCATGAAGCACCGTGTAATATCTTGCTCTAGCTGCTTTCTATCTTTGCCCATAGAGTAAGAAAAAAGTGATTATATCAGACTGAATAAACTGAACCACCCTGGAACTGATGATACAACAATAAAATGCAACAAACATGTTGAAGTCATTCATTCATTCATTTTCCGTCTTTTTATTCATCAGGGGTTGCCACAGTGGAATGAACCACCAACTATTCCAGCATAAGTTTTACATAGTGGATGCCTTTCCAGCTGCAAACCACCACTGGGATATTAAGTAATTTAGTTTAATGTTATTCAGGTTTGATTGTCTGTTTAGATTGTCTTCAATCTCTTTATAACATTTTTAATAAGTTTTCTGATTTCTTTAATGGAAAACAGCAATATCAGCTCTATAAGGCTAACATAAAACTCAAGATTCAACATTGTGGACAGTTATTAGACATTAAACCATCAACTCAATCTGGCAACACTGGTCAGCAGCGCAGATTTTGTTCATTCACTCATTCATTTTCCTTCAGCTTATTTCCTTATTCATCGGGGTCGCCACAGCAGAATGAACTGCCAACTATTCCTGCATATGTTTTACACAATGGATGCCATTCCAGCTGCATCTCAGTTACGGGAAACACCCATACACTCTCACATTCACAAACTACGGCCAGTTTAGTTGACCAATTTCCCTATAGCACATGTTTTTGGACTGTGGGAGAAACCCACGCCAACACGGGGAGAACATGCAAACTCCACACAGAAACACACCGGTGTTTGAACCAGTGGCCTTGCTGTGAGGCCACAGTGCTAACCACTGCGCCGCCTTGTTACCAACAATTTTGTTTTTAGTTTGAAATAATGTTTCGTCTACGAAATGCTTCCAGGTTTAAAAGTTTTTAGATATTTGAGCTGGAAACAAGATCTCTACGTAAGAAAGGGTTTTTTGCAGTGTGGGAAGCTTTCAGGATCTTGCAGCCCACAGCAGTCAGATTCACTGCCTCTCATATAGAGGTAAAGTTGGTTTTATATTCACACATTCAGACATTCTCCTTAATAATATAATATAATTTCAGAAAAGTATTGTTTCCAAAATTTAAAAAGTATTAAACATTTAAATGATCAAAGTACAGCACTGTTTACAGTCGATTAGATGGTGCTGATGCTGTTTTGATGTCTTTGGCATGCTAATTCTGACTGAATCTTCAAATTTGCACTATAGAGACAGTTAAATGAGCGAATGTGCGATTATAAATCCAACTTTTTTACCTCAATGGCTCTCGTTCATCTCCAGAACACAAATGAAGGAGTTTTTCATTAAATCTGGGAGATTTCTGTCCTCCACTTAAAGTATGGTGGATGGCTTTTCAGTGTTTTGGACTCTGTTAAACCTATTATACCACGCTGAACTGAACTGACACAAATTACATTTACTAGAACTACTTTGTCAAGCTGCTTTGACACAATCTACATGGTAAAATGAATGTATAGAAATAAAGATGAAATGAATATATTCACCAAAACTCTGAACAAAATACACTGAAATACAAGCTGACTGAGTCACAGGTGAGTTGAGCTTTAATGAACACCAACCTGTCTGTTCCTCGAGTTTCTCCTGCTTGACTTTGAATGTTTTCTCAATCTTTATATCTTCTTTTTCTTCTTTAATGAGCGACATCTTCCAGATAAGGTCGAGTTGAGCTTCAGCAGGAGTTTCTCTGTCTGTTTAAGAGGAGAATGATCAACATAAAGAAGAAGAAATCAACACTAAACTTCTGTCTGTGTCTCAATCTCTTCTTCTTTGGTTTAGTTAATATAGTGCAGAGAAAATAGCACCTTAAAACGTAATAATTAACAACAGAAAGTCATACGAACACCTGTTATTTAGGCGTTAGATTATCGTGTATTATAACGTTACTGTTTACCTGCGGGACACTTCGGCGGGAGATTCCATTCACTGAATCGTTAACCGAATCATTTGATTCACTTGACTCGGTGGTTTCTAACAGTTCAGCGTCTTCATTTCTATTTTCGGTGACTGAATTGGTGTTTTAGATTAGACGATTAATGATAACTTACAGGAGAGAAATGCGCGGATTTTCTGACAGGACCGTGTTGACGCGCTGTATATTCACACTAAATCTCAATCGATAACATTATATAACGTGTTGGAGTTACATCCAATAACAAACAAACGCTTTACATCGTTTAAAAAAGTTTAACGTGACTGTAAGCGAGCAAATGTGCTTAGTTAAATCATAACAAACACAGAAGCAAGTAAATGACGTCTTATGCCAAAATAAAAGACGCTGCGTTCTGATAGACAGACAGATAATTTTAAGTTTATTAATAAAATGCTAATAAAAAAAATATCATAAATGAATAATTGTAAATATACTATTTATTATTGTTTTATTACTGTTTTATCCTTGAATGTTGATTGTTAAATGTACTGTTTATTCTGATCTAACGTTTTTTTGTATGAATATATGTTGAAAAATTATGTGACATATTGAATAATATGATATATTATTTATATTTAATTAAATAAATATGATATCTATTTTTTACTTCTATTATTTACTGTGTTTAATGTGCTTTTTAAAATTATATACGTATGTTACTTTTTATGTAAACTTTAAAATGCTTTGGCAATAAATTTGTAACATTTGTCATGCCAATAAAGCAATTATTGAATTGCCAGACAGACAGACAGACAGACAGACAGACAGACAGACAGACAGACAGACAGACAGATAGATAGATAGATAGATAGATAGATAGATAGATAGATAGATAGATAGATAGATAGATAGATGGATAGTTCTTTTTTAGTACTTTTACTATTATTTACTGTGTGTGTGTTTTTTAATTAATACGTTATTTTTAATGTAAACTTCATTAATGCTTTGGCAATACATTTGTAACATTTGCCATGCCAATAAAGCATTTATTGAATTGAATTTACAAGCAGACTGTCAGGGGAGTTGTCGATAATTGGAAGGTCATTATTTTAGATGATCTTATTTTATACACATTTTCTGGTATTTATAGTTTTTGGACCATACGCGCGAGCGGGACTTTTATTGTAGCACTGTGTAATGACGTCAACAGTCTGCGACGCGCTCCTGCATCTCATGTGATTCTGCTGAAGAGAGGTTGGTGTTCCTCACTATTTACAGCATGCAAACCTTAAATCTGCTTCATATTTGTACAAGCTTTATACGATATGAATTACTAAACACTGTAATGCTTAATATTATACATTATGCATATGCAACATTAATGAAAGTCAAATATTTTAGTTTTTACTAAAATATTAAATTATAATGTTACTTTATATCGTAATATTGCAACGTTGGGCCTTTGGGGTAGCAGAAATGCAATGAATTTAATGACTTTCTTATCTAATAAGTACATTTTGCTTATGTTTTGCTGTATATCATGTCTATAATAACAGCCATCTATATGTCCATACATTTATTATCATACCCCTGCTGAAAAATCCAGCTTAAACCAGCCTTAGCTGGTTGGCTGGTTTTAGCTTGTCATCCGGCCTGGTTTTAGAGGGTTTTTTGGACATGTTTGTGTTGATTCTTCTCCTCTTAAACAGACAGAGAAACTCCTGCTGAAGCGACTGAGCTCCACTATTATAAAGATGGCCTTTATTAAAGAGGAGAGTGAAGACCTGAAGATTGAAGACACATTCACAGTCAAACATGAAGATGCTGAGCAGATAACAGGTTGGTAAGCTCAACTCAATGGGGTGTTTTAAAATCACATGGATCAGCTGGTCTGTCTATGAGCTGACATATGAGCGATCCGCTGTTGAATCGCGGCTTTAAAACGCTCCAGTGTCCCAGTATCTGTTGTTACACGCAGTAAACAGCGGTGAGTTTGGTGAACTGATGACCTTCACAGTCATTTCTGTTAAGCACGTGGACACAATCAGCAGAGTTTATAAACGCGCTCAATGTTAGCAGGAAATGGACATTTTTAAAATGTCAGAATCAATTGGTATTGAATTCCAGTATACTGAAAACCCTAATCTCAAGTCCTTTCTTGGCCAGACATGTTTCAAGTTTTGCATGATTCTGCAGGACTGTGTTCAGTTCACCAAAACATATCAACCCCTACCTCAGGTTTAGCATGTTTGAGAGAGAGAAAGGTCCTGCCATTATTCAGAGCTGGAATGCTTATCTACTACACACTGCGTTGATTGAAATAAATAGACGTGTTTACTAGGCTTGGGCGGTATCCAAATGTTGATACCTTTAAACCTCCTCCCTGTATTACCGTGCATAATAAATAAAATTATGACGTAAGGCTTAGACAGCGTCGCCAAATTGTTGACTTGTGGCTAAACCATTCAGAAACTGAATACCGTATATGTGACATTAGGCTCGCGGTCACCTGTTTGTTGCACAATTTGCGAATTGTCTTGTTCGTATTAGAGATCTGCGCGGGACTGCATTTTAGAGGGGGAGGATGTGTTCGTGAACAGAAGAGCTAAACCAAAAACCACCCAGCGAGATGATACAGAGTCCAGACAGCACCATGCTCTCCATCATTCACACACATAAACAGCATCCATACATGCTCGCTCGAGAGCGATATTGTTAGACCGCCTGCTCCCGTTCAAATTACACCAGAGTTACCGAACGCTCCCGCGCTTTGTTCGGAAATATATTCCCGCAACGCAAGAAATCTGGTTGGTTCCTGAGGTACAGCAGTGGGAATGCAGACCTCTAGTTTGAATTTACCACGTCTCCCTTCTCGTTCGGTCGAAATCCGAAATACAGAGGTTGTGTTCTTTTTCGAGAGCAGGTCACTTGATGCGCGACTCGCCATCTTACCTCACCTCTCTCTCCTCCACACTGTCCTGTGATGACAATCACGCATTGTTTTTTATGATGGTAACTGTAACGACGGTTTTGAAACTGATACCGTTGCTATTTTAGATCCCGCAGTATACCATATTACCGTATTACCGCCCCAAGCCTGGTGTTTACTACAACAAACAGCCCTCAAAATAAAACAGAAAATACAGAGTGAGGCTGCGTTCACACCAGACGCAGATGAAGCGTCAAGCGAGAGTGATTTACATGCTAAGTCAATGCAAAGATGCAGATAGTCATCCTGCGAAGTGATTCGCTTGAATCGCTCGAGTTGGAAATCCTGAACTTCAGAGAACATTTGCACCGCGTTAACCAATCAGGAGCTTGCTCTTGTAGGGGCGTGATTATGACGTAGCGTCTGTTGTTGGTGTCCTGAGGAGAAATCCTCTTGCCGACACCGGACAACAAGTTAATCAAACTAAGTCTGAAGCACCACTGAAAGCCTCCATCATCCAGGACCAGTTAATGAACTCAGAGCTGGTGCACCCCTCAAAGGATCTAGAGGACATGGTGCCGAACAAATATACGCTGTTTATCAGCCTTCCTCAAGCACATAAACACCGCTACTCATAACATCCATGTTAGCAATTTAGCAACAAAGCTAGGGTCCGCCATGGCCATGATGCGAATCTGCGTCTAAAATGTGAGCGCGTATATTTACGCACGAATATCGTGATTCAGCATGTGCCACGTCTGATGTGAACACAGCATGAGGAATGAGGAAATGTGTGTTTTTGGACCATGTTAAGTTGAGGATAACCTCTTGTTTCACCTTAGACTTGATGGAACTGAAAGAGGAGACTGAAGTACTGGATGAAGAAGAGGAAGATCAATATGAGAAGCGTCTTGATTTCAAAACTGAAGTTCTTAGATGCTCGGATACTGAGAAGACTTCCTCAAGAAAAGGAGCTCAAATATCTGAAAGTGGAAATCCTTTGAGCTGCCAGAAGTGTGGGAAGAGTTTCAGACGACCTTCCCTGCTTAAGGTCCACATGAGGATCCACACTGGAGAGAGGCCGTACTCCTGCCAAGAGTGTGGAAAGAGTTTCAGTCATAACGCAAATCTTGGTAGACATTTAAGAATTCACAATAGAGAGAAGCCCTTCACCTGCCAACAGTGCGGGAAGAGTTTCAACAGGAAGGGAAACCTTAGTAGCCACATGACGGTTCACTCTGGAGAGAAGCTGTTCACCTGCCAACCGTGTGGGATAAGCTTCACTCACAAGCTAAGCTTTAAAACACACATCACAGTTCACAATAGCGAGAAGCCGTTCACCTGCGAACAGTGTGGAAAGAGTTTTGATCAACAGGAAAGTCTTAAGGCACATATGAGAGTTCACACGGCAGAGAAACCCTTCACATGCTCTCACTGCGGGAAGAGTTTCAGTCAAAGACGATACTTGGCAGACCACATGAGGATCCACACTGGAGAGGAACCGTACACCTGCTCTTATTGTGGAAGGGGTTTCAGTTACAGACATCACATCAGCGATCACATGAGGATCCACACCGGAGAAAAGCCGTTCACCTGCGGCCACTGTGGAAAGAGCTTCAGTCGGAAAGGAGTCCTCAACAGGCACATGATGCTCCACACCGGAGAGAAACCTTACACATGCGGCCACTGTGGGAAGAGCTTCAAGTACAGACCGGCTCTTAAACAACACATGAAGGTCCACATATGAGGGAAGTGTTGCCGACAATGTTCAATCAATTTCAGAGACATGATCGGTGAGAAGCAATATCACAGAAGTGCCCTTGCTATGGAGTGGATAACTTGAGGAATTTGCACATGAACTGAATGCAAATGAGGACTTTTAGAGTGTATATATGTATGCAAATGTGTTTTGCACACATTGCCTCTAATAACACAATAAATGCAGTGATTAAACCGCAGTTGTGAAATCAGCCATATCACTGGGTAGCCCAAATCTTGTCGTCCTCCGAAGCCAAGCAGAGTTGAGAGCCTGGTCAGTACCTGGATGGGAGACCACATGGGAAAACCAGGTTGCTGTTGGAAGGGGTGTTAGTGGGGCCAGCAGGGGTGGATATCCTGCAATCTGTGTGGGTCCTGATGCCCCAGTGTAGTAATGGAGACACTGTGCTGAAGGGGTTCCAAACTCCGGGGCCGGTGTCCTGCAGATCCCCGGTGTCTGTTTCTAGAAAGTCTAGTAAGAGCTTGATTAGCTAGCCCAGGTGTGTCTGATTGGGGTTGGAGCTAAACTTTGCAGGACACCGGCCCTCCAGGACCGAGTTTGGACATGCCTGCTGTACTGCAAGAAGATCTTTGAATGAGGAATGAGACAATAAACCAAGGTACATGCAGCGAGAATGTATTCGCTGCTGAAAAATCCAGCTTAAACCAGCCTAGGCTGGTTGGCTGGTTTTAGCTGGTTGACCAGGCTGGTTTTAGAGGGGTTTTGGCCATTTCCAGGCTGGTTTCCAGCCATGTCCAGCCTGGTTTAAGCTGGATATAGCTGGTTTTGGCTGGACTCCCAGCTTGGCTAGGCTGGTCAAGCTGGTTTTAGCTGGTCATCTCCCAGCCTGACC